GCCAAGTTAGAGAATTATGAGTGCAAAAAGATAGTTATAATTGGCTGCCAGTCTTTGACCTTCAATCCTGCATGCTTTGAAGACACTTTCTCACAGAAAACCCTTTTGATGATAAAACTTATATAATAAAAATTCTGAGCTAGCTCTGGATCAGTGTTCCTCCATCAAAGAATGGTGTCCCATCTGGTCCCAGCTTTCTCTCTGTGTGTATTTGTCTTTTCTAATCCCCCATTTCCCTTCACTGTTTTCTGAATCAATAGCCCTGAAGGTTGCACTACACATACTCACAAATATTTATGTTGAATATTTTTGAGGATCCATTGGATTCTTTGACACCAATTTTATACAAGATGTCATGTGGCAATTTCCTTCACCATACCAGTTTTTCAATCTAGTTTTTTTTTTAAGAAAAATTTTTAAAAAGAGGATTTGTTTTAATTAAAAAATTCTGTCCCAGAATTCTTAGAACACACACAAAAAATCTATTTCATTTCTAAGACATTATAATTTACACATAAATTTGTCATTCTATTACTGCACACTCTCTTTACTTTGATATGTACCTTTTTATTTTCTTTCCTCTGGATTAAGTTCATACTATTCATTGGCAACATCATAGTTCTATTATTTTGTTGTGTTTTGTGTTTTAATTAGGTTCATAAAATGAAGGATTGAACATGTGCTAAGTGCTCATGAAAAACCAGCCTCTATCTCAGAGTAAAGCCTGTCCAAGGAAGGGACATGACCTTTGTCCTTGGAAAGACCCACAGAGAACTCCTAGGCACATTCCCACCCTGCTAAGTGGTTTATCTACAAATAACTGGAGAGATCTGCTGCACCAAGTGTTCCTGACTCAGTCAGGCTAGGTGGGGATCCATAGCAACCCCCTAGCAGCCACCAATCAGCATGAGATAGGGAAATACCTGGGATGCCAGATGACCCTCCCAGTAGTTTATGGTGTTGGGAAAGCATGTAGTTCAGCACAACACCCCTCTTGGCTTAAACCAGTCAGTTCAAATGAATCCCCCTCTTGTACTAACCAATCACCCCTCCCCAACTTGTTCCCACCAGTGAATGTGCTAATCATGTATTAGAGTTGTTATTTGATTTTCCCGTGGTGTGTGATGATTTGCTAAGAGATGCTATGATGTATGTGGGGGTCCCTGCCTTCTCCAAAGAATATATAAAACTGCTTCAAACCCTGGGCTCGGGGCCTCTCAGCGTCCGTGTGCGCGTGGAGGACCAAGCTAGCTCTCAATAAACACCTCTTTGCTGTTTACATTGATCTTGGTCTCTGGTGGTCTTTTGGGGGTCCCGAATTCGAGCATAACACTCATAGTTTTAAGACAATGTTTTGAGCTTATTTTCCAGTTATTAATCTAAATTTTTTTATTCTAATCACATGTATATGAAATCAGGAAAAAAGATAGTATCTTACTCAAAACTTTAGAGAAGTTATAGTAATTTTGTCCATATGTCCAAAAACTAATTACAGAAAGAAAGATTATTACATCTTTCATAGCTTCATTAGTCTATGTATGAGATAATGACTACATTCTGCTAATGTCCCTTGTCCCTGACCAGTCTTATGGGTGTATGAATATTTTAATGTAGAATTCTTCTTGGGTTATTGGATACAGTAACAATATCTAGAAAATGTCTATAATTTCATACCTATGTAGACTTCTCTTTCTAACTCTAGACCTCATTCAACCCCTTACATATGGGAAACAGACTGGTGGAGAAGCAGCAGTTAGTACATGGAGTGGAGGAGAACTTCAAACTGCATTTTACACTGGAGGGCCCAGAAGAGAACAAACTTCAAATTCTGAGCCCCAGTCCACAGTTTCTCACAACATTATAGGTTATTATCTTAGATCCATCCTATCAATAGGGTTTTTTTCTTCTTTAAAAAAAATTCCTAATCTATGTGGCCGAAGGCCTTGTGCAGGGTCTCTAATATAAAACATGCTTACAGAAATAGATGAAGAATTTTTTCCTGAGCTTCTGTTAAATCTCTAGCCTTAGAAACCTCACACAGGGTTGTTTACATATCAAGAGGGAGTAGTCAGACTCCTAGGGCAGTTATTTACAATTCAAAAGGCAAGGATCTAGGGCTAATTAGGCTTCCTGAAGAAAGGCTGAGAGTGGAGAAGGGAACTGAAAGTTTCCTCAGGCATTGATTTCTTTCTGTAATTTTTTTAATAATTTCATTTCATACCCAGGTCTAGTTTTGCCATCGCAATATGAATTAAAGCACTTTCAAATTATGCCTGAAACTTAGCTGATGATCTTCTCTAAACTTGTCTTTTGTTAGAAAAAGTCATGTCATTCATTGTATCAGGCAAGCTGGAGACATAAACATTCTTTTTGCACTCAAGCTACATAATCCATCTCTAAATCTTGACAATTTTATCTTCTACCTCTACCATTTATCCAACTCCATTTCCAGAACCACACTGTCAGCTCCCCTTTAATCTGAACTACGTTTATTTTTCTAACTAGTCCTATAGGACTGAAATCCTGATTTTCTTACATGCATTCTCGGTTTGTCTCAAAGGGTTTTACTCACCATGGTTCCTAAAAGAAACAAACACAAATGCACAAAAATAATGATGAATACTGGTTACTTATAGTTACCATATGCTGGGGGCTCTTCAAGGCACCTCCCACATTCTATCTCATTTGATCCTTACCATAGGTAGGTGCCAGTATTTGTCTCCAATTTACAAATGAGGGGAAATAGTTACCAAGAATTTGAAGATTTGTCCCAGGACCACAAAGCTACTAAGTGTTGAAGCTGGGATTTAAATCTAGAAATCTTAGCTTTAGAGTTGATGCTCATTACAACTACATGATGTTGTCCCTCCACGAACATAATCTCTTCTGATTCAGAACTCTTCTGTAATTTCCAAATTGCTCCTAGGAACTATAGAGTCATCATACTGTGCCTGGAATATTCTTCCCTCCCACTCTGTGTTACATGTTTTTCATTCTTTATATGTTTCCATTATTTCTTTAGGGAAACTATCAAATTATTAGTAATTCCTTTGCAGTATGCTATCACTTTGTTAATAATAATTGTCACAGATGAAATTTGACGTATTTTGTGATTATTTAGTTAATTTGTGTCTCATTCTCTACAACAGGAACTGAACAGAATTATATCTCCTAAGTGTACTATAGTCTGGAATCTGTATAATAGTTAAGAAATATTTTAAATAAACACACAAAAAAATGTGGGAAGGAAGAAAGGAAGGAAGGAAGAGAGGGGGGAAGGAGGAGGGAAATTCTTTGTTTTGAAAAGTTCTGTGAGGAGCATTTCACAACAACCTTTCTTCCAGGTTAGGAATCTTTTTATATCCTTTCACTTGACTGCTCACCAATTCTCCATTTGAACAGTTCCAGTAATGAATTGGACCTCAATAGAAATTGCTTCCATGACTGGCTGACTTATCTGTGAAGGATGCATTCCAAGATCCCCAGTGGATACCTAAAACTGCAGATAGTATCAAACCATACATATATTGTGTTTTTCCTATACACACATACCTAGGATGACATTTAATTTATAACCAAGGCACAGTTAAGAGATTATGTATATGTGTATATATACATATATGTGTATATATACATATTCATATTATATATGTATATATATATATGTTTATACATATAAAGGTATGTATTAATCTCTATGGAATATTTATTGTTTTAGTATATGTCTTACAAGATTAAAAGGCTAAAGCAAAGTATAATAATATCCTGGGCTATTTCTTTTTAACTCATGGGAAACAAATATATCATACCAAATGATTCTATTTTTTTCTTATGTTTACTGGAAGAAAAAGTCAGTAGAGGAAAACACACTGGCATATATTCATGCTAGAAAAATAAAAATAATTGTTATAATGACACTTATTAAAAATATCTCCCTAAATAAAACTTGTGAAAAATGCCCTTGAAACAAATATTTTACTTCTATTTTGCTAGAAATCGTTTACTCTTTTTATTTATTAAATTCAAAACTCATGAGCAGAACAAGAGCAGAATAATTTGCAATTGAAAGTCATTTCAGGTGTCAAAACACAATGATTCTGTAAGAAAAGTGTTATAATGAATTTCAAATTTAGAACTTTCAATTGCTAGAGAACAGTGCTGTATATAAAAAAATTGTCACAAAAATGATAGTGAATTACAAATGTCTTCTGCTTTATTATTTGGTATTAAATGACTAGAACTCTCTTTATATGAAGTAGTTGACTCCTTTAATACACACACTTCAACTAAATAAAAAAATTTCATGTTTAAAAGCCATTTAGCAATCTGCATTTATTTCATCATCATCATAATAAAGAAATATTGCATTGTTTGTTTTCTTTAGATCTTCCAACTTCCTGTTTGATTATTTATTACTTCCTGTTTGATTATTGTATTTATACTGTAAATATAGTATCTGCATAAGTAATATTGAACATAAACAAGTACATGCTTTGCATTGTGTAAATCCATTATTTGAACATAAACAACAAGTGTTTTTGTGTAACAATGTAAATGCATTATTTGATGATAGTTAATAAGTCATTAAAGACATAAAAAGTAACTATCTTTGAGTTGATAAACTATCTTAACTCTGTGTCTGTTTTATTATTATTATTATTATTATTTTTAGACGTTGGAACCTTATTTTATATTATATGAGGTGCTGAGAATTGAACCCAGTGCCTCACACATGCTAGGCAAGTGTTCTGCCACTGAGCCACAACCCAGCCCCTCTGTGTCTGTATTTAGTAAAGAAAAGAAAATTAATACGAGCCACACCGTGAGTCATTGGTGAAAGCCTCTTCAAATACAAAAAAAGCCTAAGCCGCACAAATGAAAATGGTGGCCAAGAGCAACTGGAAATATGATTTTTTTTTTCCCTAAACCTATGAATAATGACCAAATTTCATGTGAGAAACATGAGCTCACTAAACCAATCTAGATTTGGGAAGATGTATTTAAATAATGACAGCCTGAAGAAGCCTGAAGCACGTCATTAAATCCATTGGGATTGGTGGCCTGATTTCATTTCCATCCAGACGGAGGTAGCTCAGCTGAGGTCCATGAATAAACACATCTTGTTCTGCATGCAGTGCCGTAGATGTAGGACAGATTACAGATACGTTCACACCTATGGAGTCAAAGATAGCACAAGTGATTTCCAACCAGAAAAAAACAAAGGATAAAGACCAGTGGTCCTAATGGAGGGCCTAGTAGTCTGATGCATGAAAATGTAGAGATACAAACCATTGGTGTGCCAGTGATTGTGAATATTTGTTTTATAAAAGTAACCTGAAAAAAGTGTGCAGTGTAGGTATACTCATTTCATGTTCTGCAGTACTTAGGGAAGAACACTAGAAAGGAAACATTGCTAAGAGCTATGATGGAAACAAAAATGTATGGCATTTTCTAAGCTTACAGAAGAGATGATGCAAGTTTAAATTACTATAGTATTTATAGCATGTATAAATTAGTATAATATAGTATCCAGGGACTTGGAGGTGGAGATACCGTTTTAAGTGTGGTATTCAAAGAGTGGTTGGTGATATGGGTAGGTGGGTAGATGCATGGATGAGTGGGTGGAAAATCAATCTAATATAAGAGAAAGTACTTGAAAATTACCTCAAAAGATAAAAAAAAGACATATGAAATCAAATTTTAAAAGTACAATTAACATAACTACATATGTACTACTTACAGAAAACAATTAGAATCTCCACATGTAAGTATATTTAATTGGTAAGGAAACACTTGTCAAGAATGGCTTTACAAAGACTTGAAGCCAGAAAAATCCCGTCAACCTTTTCACGTGGTTAAGATGGCAGAAATTGTGCACCTGCCTTGGATCAGAGCCATTGACACCAATGACTACTGAGATTTAGGAGCATCCTTGAGAGAGGTCTGTTAAACTAACAAAATTCAGAGAAGCATGTAACCACGAATTTCAACCATAAATACTTACACTATACCACCTTTACATACCTTCCTGAAACTGCTTTGAGCAAGAAAACTTTCCTGAGGAAACCCATCAAACTTGGGACATGCCTCTCATCTGCATTCTATTAGAGCATACAGATTCATATTTTGTTGAATAATTTTATGCTTACAGAAAGGTTGCTTTGCTTCAACCTTGATTTTCCATTTTGAGAATTTAGCTTAATAATAAGAATAATGACATTCATGTGTAGCAGTTCTGTGATTACAAAGTTATTTTTTCTAACATATTATCACATTATCACAGGACTTTTATCAGACAGTGTTTATTATTCTCCCTACCTGGGCATTGTGGGAACAGTGGCCCCAGTCTGGTGTTTTTTCTATTACATGCACTACATGAATGTAGTCCATTGCTGACTGGAGAGGATATGTCCCTTTTAGTGTGCTACCTCATATCCTTATCACCCCCATGCCCTATAACCAATGTAAACAGAATAAGAAATAAGTGTGGTAGTCTAATTACATTGGGGCAAATTGATTTTGATGTTTCTCAGAGATGTTCAGGAAGCAACTATTTAAGTGGATACATTTTTTAACCAAAATTTAACTTCTTTAAGATGTTTGGAAGAAATAAATATTTCTGTCACATTGCACGAGATAAATTCACTGTCTGGCAAATTCTGAGGGCTCTTCATAGAAAAGTTAAGCTTTTTGCAAACCATTTTATTATCAGATAGATTATATGGCATGAAGAACTAAATATTTCACCAGTTATTATAGCACAGTGTAATATAATTATGAGCCAACTATTATAGTCTGGGAAATTAATATTTGATATTAATTTTCTCACAATTTAGAAATAACCCCAGTTGATATCTATATGAAGAACAAATGGTTCAGTTTCTCTTTATTGGTAATGTTGTTATTCTACTTATAGATTTTTTTTCCAAATTTTTACACTGAAGAACTGAAGAAAAGTATGGTTATTATACTATGTGAGTGAAAATAAAACTTTATTTATTTTATAATTAGAAACCCTAGAGTCATTCTTTGTCTTTGAGCCACCTATCTGAACTTCAGTTTTTTCCTTGTAGAAATTCCTGATAATGTCACACAGAGTTCTTGGGAGGATTAGTGGTTCTCAAAACATGGACCTGTAGCAGTAATACCACCCTTAATACCACCAGGGAGTAAATTGTTAGGTTCCACCCCAGACCTACTGAGTTAGACCCAGTAACACATGTTGTGCAAACACTCCTGGCGATTCTGATGCACACTAAGGTATGAGACACACTGAAAAAGAGAAATGCCTGAACAAATATTCTGGAAACCCTCTTTAAAATAAGGGTGAGGGAAGGACACAATGCTCTATTTCTTTGCTGTGTTTTGAATTTTGCTACCTCTCTCCTATATACCCTTCTTCTCAGGGTAGAATCTCTTAATTCATAAACAAGACTCTAAGTGTAAAATGAACAAGACTCATATAAAATGAACTTCCCATACTAGCTGTCTCTGAGGCTTTTTTTTTTTTTTAATTGTGAGATGAAGAATGTACCTGTAGAAGCACAGAACTCTCAGCAGGAAAAAAAAAAAGCATACTTAGGTCAGTGTTGGCTGTTGTACTATTTGGTTAAGCTAAATAGATCCTCTAGCGATTTTTCTATTACACCTTTTTTTTTTTTTTGATTACTGGAATAAATAGTATGTTTCCTCACCATGGAAATATAACTGCTGTGGTGGAAACCTGCCATCTAATTCCTGGATTTTATGCTCAAGTACACCGTTTCCAAAAAAAAAAAAAAAAATCTTGAATACTCAAGCAGTACCAAGTGGGGAAATATTCTTGCAAATGTTATGCTATATGATTATTTGCTTAAAGCAAAGTTTATTGCATAATAACCAGAAAACCCACCTTTTGACAGTTATCTAGGTAACTTTCTTTCAATCATTTCAATTGAATCTCACTTTAGGAATGCATTTACTAAGGTTATTCAATGCAAATCTCTCCAAGGTTATCTTCCTAAAGGGCTTACACAGGGTCAAAGATGCATAGACTGATGCTTGGCTGGGTGTCATCACTTCTGTGACTTGACAAGATAGGGTCTACCTCTACACCAGGTGCAGCCTGCCTTGGGCACGTTTGTGAAGAGGTCAGGTTTATTTCTATTGCTCACAGCCTCTACCTTCTATAAACAATTCCTTTGATGGCAATTCTGCATCCAAGAACTTTATATTCATTCCTTGGCCTTTTATCAAAAGCTGTATTCAGGAAAGGAGAGAGCATTTTACCTTGTAGGTTTACCACTAAGTTGCAAAAGATTGCCAGCTTCTATGTATATTTCCATTACAATTAAAGTCTCGAACTACTGTAGTAGTTCTCAGTGGTTCCTAGAGCAGCAAGGTCAACTTCACTTAGGAACTTGTTAGAAATGAAAATTCTCATTCCCACTGAAGACCTACTGAATCATAAACCTGGGGAGAGGAACCACAAATTATACACACTGAAGTTTAAGAAATCCCTTCTGATAAGAGTAGTTTATCCAGAGATCTAACTATGGAGTTTCAGTCATCAGCTGGCCTAAAGACTTTAGGATAAAGTTACCTTCCTTATACCTCCTAAATCAAATGCCCTCGATTACTACTTATGAGTGTGTGTGTGTGTGTGTGTGTGTGTGTGTGTGTGTGGTGTCTGGCATGCTTTATAAAATAATTCCACCCACAAAGACAGAAATACCAGACTCTTCATGAGTAAAAGAAGACAGGGATGGTTTCTCCCATAAACAACAGTCCTCTATAAATTACTCAGGTCCAATTTTTAATCTTAAATTTGAAGATTGGGACTTCTTGGTTCACTAAGACTGTAAGTAAGCAAAAAGTTAGTAATGAAAGCAGAAATCACATTTAAAACTCGAAGGGTATTTTACCTGGGAGACAACACAGTTACTGTTCCTAAAGAAGATACAGATAAAGGTGGAGATGAAGAACATTTTCATCAGACACACCCTGGTGGTTACTCACGTTTAATTTTGTTGTGATCCAGGTGAAGGTGTTGCAGGTGGGCATTGATGCGGGGAAACTTTGTAAGTTGATTATGAGACAGTTGAAGATCTAGAATGGATGACACATCAAAACCACTGGATGGGAGCCCTGAATCTGATAATTTGTTATGGTTGAGCCTCAGGAAGGCCACTTTAGGAATAACATTAAAATAATTTTCTGGTATTCCTTCAATGGAATTGTTGTCCAGGAACAGTTGCATTGTGTTGGCTGGTAATCTTGGTGGCATGTTCCTCAGAGCATTCTTGGCCATATTTAGCTGCATGAGGTTCTTGAGTCCCTTGAAGGTGTCTCTTTGAAAGGCGTTGTCTAATAGTTTATTGTGCTGCAGATCCAGAAGGGTTAGATTTTCTAGATTGCTAAAGGTTCCTTGAGGAATTCTGGACACCTTGTTTCTAGCTAACTGCAACTGTTCTAAACTTCTTGGCAATGGAGAAGGTACTTCTTCTAGCTCATTGTCTTCAAGAAATAAGAAAAGCAGCTTCTTCAGCTGACTTAGGGCTCCTTTTTCAATTCCATAGTTGGTTATTTTGTTCTTATTTAAATTTATCCATCTCAACTGGGTGGCGTTCTCGAACGGCTTCTCAGGAATGGTTTCTATCTGATTGTTCTCAAGATACAGATACCAGATCCGTGAAGGAATAGCAGGGATTTCTTTGAGACCTCGATTTTCACAATATAAAGCAGTAGGGAAACTTGGGGGACAGAAGCATTCCCTGGGACAATCGAAGTCATCCATCGTCCAATCCCCTGGCTCATGTACCTCATAGACCTGTCTCACACTCTGAGTCCACACTGTGTCTGTTATGAACAACACCCAGATGATGAAACTGATTGTGCTTGCCATAATAGTACCTAGAGCAATCAGACACACAGCTATTAGATCACCAGGACCTTGACCTTTAGGTATTGACATCAAAATGATCAGTAAACATTGTTTCTTCAGAGATGAGTTGAAGATATCATTTCCATAGATATTGATTAAAAGACACACATTTATTTAGTAGGCACCATATAGAGCATTTTGCAAATTTCAAAATTAATTCGCCAACTCATAAACTTCTGATTTTAACCCAACTAATGAAAGCGGAGAAATGGAAAGCAAATTTTAGCAGCTCTAAGTGCTTTTCCATTTCTAGCTATGTAATAATTCAAGGAACTTAACTGAAACCAGTAGTTGAATATAAGAGTACAAAAAAAGTGATCTTTTAATAGTTCAAGTTAAAGTCTGTGTCATTCCTAAGATGGAGTCATATGATTTTGCTTCTACTTTGACTCCTAAATGAGAAGAACATCTGGAGGAGATTTCCCAGGTTCTTTGGCACTTGATCCAAAGAAATGAAGAGATCAAAGAATATTTTAGTAGTTTATTGTGAAGGAAAGTTCTACTATCTGAAGAAAAGTGTGTGTTTTTTATCTTGTTATGCTGCTGAACTACTCAGGTAAGTTTTATTTGGTGGGAAGACGACTTCAAAAATTGTAAGTAAACAACCAGGTTGTCCAGCTCAGAAATTGAGTTATAATCTATCTTTTATATAATCACTCTGTCATATATATGCCTCACACAGTCTCCCAGAAATCTCTTTTGTTGTGCAGATATACACACAAACATACGTATATGTGACAAAGAGCATTTATTACAGAGTCAGATATATCACTCATATGATTATGGCTTGATTAGAAAGACAGCAAAACAAATATATTCAAGATGTGAATATATTTGTGATGATTTTTTTATATCCATATATTCACAATGGATAATAACAATAAATAGATAAATACTTACTGATATGTGAAATATTTAAAAGATATAAACTCTTCCTACCATATATCATCAGAGATCATTGTTCCAAATTCTATCTTAACAGCAAAAAACATTTAGGCATAATGTGTATTTTAAACATTTATTTATAACATATACATGTTACATATTACATAGAAAAGGATATACCCATCAGTGTACATTTAGTTAAGTCAAGTGATAATAAGAAGAAATTTTACTGTTTCCTGGAAAAATCAGTCATTAATGAAATGCTGATCTTTCAATTTTGCCATTAAATTGCAGAAAATCACAAGTGCAGAGCTGCTTCTACAAGCTGTCAAATCTACAATTGCAGAAGGCTGCTCTGGCCATCTTCCAACAGAGACACGTTAAAATTTTTTCAGAATAGGGATTTGCTTCAGTTATTGAAGTTGTAACCCTACATCCAATGAATCAGAACACTGAAGTCTTAGCTTTATGAGTTTTAAAAAGTGCAAAAGAGTTTACCTTGCCTTCCAGGAATATACCGTTGAGTCCTGTGTCTGAGTCTGCAGTTTGCTAAAAGTCAGTTGAAGAAAAAAAATTAACTAAAAAATTGTTTTTTCTTTATGCTGTCAAGCCTCCTTTGAGAAAAAGTAAAACCTACACTGAGCAGTCACCATGAACACCTTTTGATGTATTGTTTTCACTTTGACAGGGCGTCAGAGATGGCTTACCTCAGCCTCCTTGGATCTTCTTCTTCCTTTTCTATTGGTCACTGCTTGTTCACAGAAATGGATTGACCCAGGCTCCACTGCTGTGTTTTTCTGAATCCTCTGAAATATATATGCACCAGTGGCTCCAACTTAACCCCTCCAACAGCCACTCCACCTCTATACCTAGCCAACCCAGCAAATGAAATTCTTACTTTAATTTCAAGAACTTATAACAAAATCTCAGGAAGATTTTCACTCCTAATTCACAGTTCCAAAGATTTTGTAATGCACTGGTATCTAGACCTAATCTACCAGCAGGAAACTGAAGGCAGTTTTAATTTCAACTCTAACAAATAGAGATTTTAAAATCATTGTTTTTCTCTAGATGATCTTTTAAAAAATAACCAAGAAATAAAGGCCAATGCCCTCTGTTGATGTGGACATATTTTATTTGTTTTTGATATAAAACAGATGCTACAATGTATTTGATTAAGGAAAAAAGAAATAGAAAAATATATTTGAAGAATTTAAAAATGCTATCCAGAAAACTATAGCTAATTTTGGCACTAACCACCGTCATACTCTTTGCTTTATAGAAATACTTTTTGTATCTCTGTTTCCCATACTTTTAATAATTTATTTAAAGTAATTATTAAAATAGGATGATTCTTACTTATTATAATAGAACACATGTTTTTATTTAATGCCTTATAAGACATTCTGTTACACTGCCTTTTTTTCTTTAGCACAAGTCTAAGCTAAAGTTTCTTCCATTTTCTTATATTTGAGATAAATATTGTATGTCTCAAGGAAAGATGCAAGCAATGTCTCTTTTTCATACAGCATTCTGTAGATTGATTGAAATCATCTTGTTTTCCAAAATATAATCTTATTCTAAGATCAGTGTGTTTCATTTACATTACTCATTCAACACTGTTCACTTTCATATTATCAAAGACAGAGCACAGGAAAGAAGAGAGAGACTGGATTGAAAGGAACCTTTCTGGGCCACCTCTTTCTTTCTTGCTAAGTATAGAGTAGATCACAGTTTTGTCCTCTATACAATAATAATTGGCTACTTCACAGGGTTAACCCTAGTTTGTAATAAATGATGAGGGAAATGTTAATCTCTCTTGGTATTAGCCCTATACTCCCAAGTGAAAATGTGTTTATGTTAAAGGGCTTTTATAGACTAAGATCTGATCCAGACATCTCACATTGTATTTTAAGAAAACAACCATTACTTACTTTCTCATAACAGTTTCCTTATTTTTCCACTGAATTTCTTCTTCATTTTCTCCCTCTCCTTTTTTTCTAACCCCTCAAGATACAAATAACAGAGGATCTTCAGATCTGCACAACTCCTTCCAGCTACTCTATTGTCTCTTAATTTTCTTTTTCAGTCAAACATATATCAGTCACTTCTTAATTTTATTACATAAATGTTGGTATGTGTTCACTGTAGAAAATCAGAGTAGTATACTTGCTATTCCAACCTATTTCCCATTTACCAATTCACTCATGATACACTCATCAAATATGGCTTCTAATTCTATTGCTTCTTTAAAATTGCTCTGACCATCAATGATCATCGTATACACTAGTCTGTAGAAGTCTTTTAGTGTTTCGCTTACTTGACCTATGACCATCGTTAATACTGACCCACCTCTTATTGATGTTCCTGTAAGCTTTTCTAACATCATTCTCTCTAACTTCTTCTCCCTTTTCCCCCCCCAAGATTTCTCCCTGTTTATATCTCAAAAATTCTGTTTCCTTTTTCTAGCAGTTTTAAAAAGAGCTGTTTTCTTGAATTCAGATCTCTTTGAGATGTTGTCCTCTATCCTGGGTTCTTCCTGCCCTCTCCACACTTTGTGAATGACTCTGATTTTAACCATCCCCTTCATTAGGATGTATCCTGAATCCACTTTTCCAACTCAGCCTCAGAACAAGACCTGTACACCAATGTTTGTTTGTGTCCGCCTTCTGAATATCTCCTGTTGCATGTCTCAAGGGTGTATGTGTGAAATGAAACTCACTGTCTCCCATTACTTCTAACTGCTTTTGTCATCTTATACTTTTGAGTGACACTATCATCACATTTAGTCTCCCATATTTGAAATCTGGAAATCATTCTTGACTATTTCCTCTCATTTTGTGCACATATGATAACAATTACATTTTAAAGACCCAAGGAGACATGATATAAATAAAAATGACTATCTGCAATGCTAACCAGGTTTGGATATCATTATTTCCAGACTAGAAACATAGAATTTTTTCCACTGTTACAATAATTTCTAGTTGTATCTTGATTTTCCATATAACGATCCTATTTTCTTCCTTTGATTATTGATTCCTGGAGTATGGGGACTTCAACACTTCTCCGAATTAGTGGAAGTGGAAGTCAAATTAATTAAACTGAGAAGATGGAAGGAATGTCTGAGTCATGATAATTTTAATAAGAATTAATAAAAGACTCTGCCAAGCTTTATCTGATTCTTCAAAGGGGAAAAAAAGAGGCCTACAGTATAATCATGTGGCTTTGGTAGTGTTTCTGGTGACAGATTTTTTTTTTTTTAGAAGTCTGTGGGGCTTTATAGATAGTAGTTATATTTAATAAATGCTTGCTGGATGAGTAAATAAGCAAATCAATACATGAGGCACACATTTCAATTTGGTATTTATGTTTTTTATGAAAGTAACTGTGTATGTAAGAACATGGTAGAGAGCCTTAGGTTTTTGCTTTAAAAAATTAGAGTTTTCTGTCTGCATCTAGTTTGTTATTTGGCCTTGTGTATGTCATTTAACCAGCAAGAACCTATATCGACCCATAATACACCTGCCCTACGTGCTCAGCTGGGTCATTAGATCAAATGAGATAATGAGGGTAAACATGTTTCAGAAGTATAAAATATTTTCACAGTAAAAGATGTTAAAATGCAAGGAGAATTTGCGAATCTCAGCAGAAAGGGTGAGGTTAACGTTTCTGTCTCCCTGCAAGAAGCCCTGGCAGAAACTCAAGAGACAGTAAAAGTTTTGTTGTCATTGTTCAACCTTTTTTCCTCCTTTTAACATCTTTAATATTTTGTGTTTGCTGCACCTAATGCTATTAAAAGGGAAGATGCTTTGCTAAACTATCTTAGACTGAGGAATTTAGTTTGTTACATTCCTGAAGATCATTGACCTTTTAAAAGGGAAGGCAAGGGATGATGGCCATGAAATTCTAGTTAGATGTCAAATTTCTTGGCATATGTATCACACACAGATGTTAGGCCATGGTAGGTTGGAGTACTTAGGTGCTTCCAGGATCTTTGTTTATTGAACTGTTGTCAAGGTAAATAATTTTCTCTTTCCTAATTAATTTTCAATTTGACTAAGCTGTGTCAAATTATTTAAAAAAATATAAAAGGGATCCACTAAAATCCAAAGCTTACACACATACATAATTTAAAATTCTGTCAAAATAATACATTTAAAGTACTGTAGGAATATATTCAAAAAATCAAAATCATCACAAATCTGATTGTGAAAATGGGAGTTACCTATTGTATAAAAGGGCTGAGGATGTAGTTCAGCAGTGGGATACTTGTTTAGCACGTGCAAGCCCCTGGATTCAATCTATTTTGAAAAAATTGTTTCCATTCAGTGAGTAGAGACAACATTGTGTGGTGTCTAAAAGCCAGATTTTCTTGGGTAGAACTTGAAGAAATCTCTGCTATTTATTAGCAGTGATACTTTGGACAATACTCTTTGCCTCCTCATGAGTAAACTAAGGGAAATAATTATGATGGTGATGATCGTGATATTAATAAAAATACCCATCACATAGTGTTATTGTGAAGAATGATTACATTTGTATATTAAAACATTTAAAGTGTTGATAAATAAAATTGGATGTATTAGGTTCACTTTTTTCTCCGGGTGGATTTTACCCTCTGGCATGCCATGTCTACTTTAATACAGTTCACTTCTTTTTAGAAATCAACCTTTGCTCATTTGACAGATTGCAATGCTTAGGTTATGAGACATATTAGTTGGCTTGGGGTTAAAGAGGGCTATAGGAATCCTCACTTTTAAACTATAAGGTATTACGTAGGATGAAAGAAAGGGCAATTCCACTGTATCTCACATAGCAAATATTTGTTTGAAGCAGGAATTAAAACCATCATGTAGTGTGTCTTCAATACAATGATTCTTCAAATGCTAACTAAGCATACCTATGATGCTTAGTTAAAAATCACACTGTCTGCTGAAAGAGTTTTTTCAGTGTGTGTGTAGCAAATACAACCTTACTTCCTGAGCCTCTGAGTATATTATAGTCCTGGGTTCCCTTTACCCATCTGCTGGTCTACAATTCTGTTACTTCCTCCATTTTTATCCTTACCCTTTCTTAGTAAGCCCCATAGTGTTGGTAGAGCACATACACTGACCACTTCCTATTACCCTGGATGTTTAATTTATTTATTTTGTGGTACTGGGGATTGAATCCAAGGCCTTGCACATGCTAACCAAGTACCCCACTCCTGAACTACACCCTCAGCCCTTTTTTATTTTATTTTGAGACAGGGTCTCACTAAATTACCCATGCTGACCTTGAATTCATGATCCTCCAGCCTTAGCCTTAGGCCTACTACATATGGCCAGGTTTGGAATACTTTCTATTAGTATTTCTTTTATTTGAGAACTAAACTTGTGTTTTTACAGCACACAATTGATATTTAACTATATAAAACTCTATCGTGAATTACTTTCCTCAAAATGTTGAAGACATTCAGAGAAGTTATTGTCTTGTAATTTCTGTAGTTGCAATTAAAATGTTCAATAAAATTATATATATATTTTAAATCTTCAGAATATGTTCTTTTTCCCTCTCTATAAACTTTTAGGGTTGTCTCTTCCTTCTGTTTGTGGAATTTTATAACTGGATTCAACACATATGTCTTCTTAGTACACTTTTCATAGTTATGAATTTTTACT